CCTCCAGGGGATACAGCGACCGTCATCAATTCCCAGAATTCCTCGGCAAGCATGTTGGCGGAGGAATTCTGGGAGTCAAAGTTCATGGGGCTTAAAATGGCTGAGGTTGAAAAACACTGGTGTACATTGTTGATCTGTTCTAGGCTAAATGGGGAGAGGGTTGGTAAATGGGGCAGCCTTGATTTTTTTCAACCCTTCCTCATAAATGCCCCCACCTCATTTGAAGGCAGAAAGCCAGAGACACCCCCCCCACACACACACACACACGAAAAAACAAAATGGAGCACAAGGTAATCCAAAATCAGCAGTCTAACTTCGCCCGTTTGGATCCCAGGGAATCCGTGTAGGCCAAGGGTAGGCAACCTTGGCTCTTTTATGACTCGTGGACTTCAACTCCCAGAATTCCTGAGCCAACCATGCTGAGGGAAAAGGAGAGGTTTTCAAGCTCAGCCATGCTGGCTCAGGAATTCTGGGAGTTGAAGTCCACGAGTCATAAAGCGGCCTAGGCCTAGGCCAGAGGTAGGCAACCTTGGCTCTTTTATGACTCGTGGACTTCAAATCCCAGAATTCCTGAGCCAGCCACATTGAGGGGAAAGGGAGAGGTTTCCAAGCTGAGTCATGCTGGCTCAGGAATTCTGGGAGTTGAAGTCCACGAGTCATAAAAGAGCCAAAGTTGCCTACTCCTGGTCTAGGAGGCTCACCACTTAGAACAGGAGGACTTAGGACAGGGATAGGCAACCTTGGCTCTTTTATGACTCGTGGACTTCAACTCCCAGAATTCCTGAGCCAGCATGGCTCAGCATGGAAACCTCTCCCTTTCCCCTCAGCATGGCTGGCTCAGGAATTCTGGGAGTTGAAGTCCACAAGTCATAAAAGAACCAAGGTTGCCTACCCCTGATGTAGGCCTATCCCAGAAGACCCCCCAACTCCCCAATCTGAATGAAACTCACCTATTGGCTTCCCTGGAGCTGCCCCATCAGAGCCCAGGACATCCCTTGGGAGCAGCAGACGGGCTGGGTGGAGGGGAGGTACCTGTTTGTGCGTGGCACCTCAGGTGCACCACACACCCATTATTTGTGCCTGTTTGGGCTGCCGGCATTTGGCTGGGGACTGGCACATTGTCCCCGACTTCCGTGCCAAACACAGCCAGGGAGGGGAAGCAGCTGCCTTGAGCCCGGCAGGGAGCTGTCGCCGAAAACCGGTTCCCACGGCCTCCTGTCCTTCCTGTTTCTGCTGCTCTTGGAGCCGGGCCAGGCGTCCATTGGAGGAGGTTTGGAAATGGTGGGAGGCTGCGGCACTTGTAACAACATCCTCAAGACAGCTTTCCACTCATGCCAGCCTCTCTTCCTCAGCAACTGGACAATCCCTGGTCTTGCCACTCTGGGAAGAGACAGGAGACGGCAGAGAAGGTCACGTTGTTCACCAGAGCACCAGAGGGAAGGACGAGAAACAATGGTTGGAAGCTGATCAAAGAGAGAAGCCACCTGGAATTAAGGAGAAACTTCCTGACAGGGAGGACAATTAACCAGTGGAACAGAAGTTGCCTCCAGAAATTGTGGGCGCTCCATCCCTGGAGGTTTTCAAGAAGAGGCTAGACCGGGGGTAGGCAACCTTGGCTCTTTTATGACTCGTGGACTTCAACTCCCAGAATTCCTGAGCCAACCATGCTGAGGGGAAAGGGAGAGTTTCCAAGCTGAGCCATGTTGGCTCAGGAATTCTAGGAGCTGAAGAGCCAAGGTTGCCTACCCCTGGTATAGGTTCTCCTGCTTGAGCAGGGGGCTGGACTAGAAGACCTCCAAGGTCCCTTCCAGCTCTATTCTATTCTATTAAGAAGGGCTGGCTGAGATCCAGTCCCAGTCCCTCGTCTCTATGGCCACCTGCAGCTGACTTCTTGCAATTGCAGGTAGTCCTCAACTTACGACCACAACTGAGCCCAAAATTAATGTTGTTAAGTGAGAAATTTGTTAAGTGAGTTTTGCCCCATTTTACGACTTTTCTTGCCACATTTGTGAAGCGAATCGCTGCAGTTTTTAAGTTAGGAACACGGTCGTTAAATGAATCCGGCTTCCCCATTGACTTCGCTTGTCAGAAGGTCGCAAAAGGGGATCACGTGACCAGGGACGCGGCAACCGTCATAAATACCTGCCAGTTGCCAAGCATCTGAATTTTGATCACGTGACCGCGGGGATTTTGCAACGGTCCTGTGAGAAACGGTGATAATTCACTTTTTTTCCTGCGCTGTTCTAACTTCTAATAGTCACTAAGCAAACTGTGGTTAAGTCGAGGTCTATCTGTACAGGGAGTCCTTGACATACGACAACGGAGCCCGGAATTTATGTTGCAAAGCGAAAAATTTATGAAGCGAGTTTCATCCCATTTTACGACTTTTCTGGCCACATTTGTTAAGTGAATCACGGCATTGATTAAACGAGTAAGACGGTCGCTAAGCAAACCTGGCTTTCTCATTGACTTGGCTTTTCAGACGGTCGCAAAAGGGGATCACGCCACCCCGGGACTCTGCGACCATCATAAATATGAGTCAGTTGCCAAGCATTGGAATGTAAATCACGTGACCGTGGGGGAGGCTGCAACGGTCGTAAGTGTGAAAAATGATCGTAAGTCACTTTCTTCAGTAATTTTGAACGGTCACTAAATGAACTGTTATAACTTGAGGACTAACTCTATTTCTCTTTCTCTGGGTGCTATTTACCTCTCAGATAGCCCCCCAGCAAAACATGAGACTTAACTGGAATAAAAAATAAAAAAAGAAATCTGGCCTGATAAATATTCCATAGCATTGGAAGTGAGGCAATACTCTTGCTCCCCGTCCTTTTCCCACGTGAATCCTAAAAATAATATAAAGCACATTCCAGCTTCCTCTAGCAACAATTGACCGGCAGACCAGCCTCTGTGAGAAAGGGCAGTTTTGTTTTTCCTGAGGCGTATAAATAGAACTTTCCCTCAAATATGGGATGTTGAATCAGAAATGGGGAGGGGAGGGGGAAATGACAGCAATTGGCTCCATTTGAACTCGGGTTGCAAATTGAATTCTCCCCCCCCCCCCCGAAGCGAGCCGAGTTTGGTTGAGGGAAAGTCACAGCAAAGTATCACTGCCGTACCAATTGATGGGCTGGCTTCCCGTGTAAACCACAGTTGAACAAGCCATGGTGTCATGTGTGAATGCAGCCGCACAGCGTACTAAGATGAAGTATGGTTGATTGGGTGTAATGGTGAGGGGGCTGGCTTAGAAACCAGGAGAGTTCTAGGAGGCTGTGAGTTCTAGTCCCACCTCAGGTATGAAAGCCAGCTGGGCAAAATTGGGCCAGTCCTTCTTCAGCCCAACCTACCTCACTGGGTTGTTGTTATAGGGCAAGGGTCTTCAAACTTGGCCCTTTTATGACTTGTGGACTTCAACTCCCAGAATTCCTCAGCCAGCAAAGTCCACAAGTCATAAAAAGGGCCAAGTTTGAAGACCCCTGTTGTAGGGAAAAAAAGGAAGCAGGAGTATTAGAATGCTTGGCCCGAGTTTCATATAAAAAGCAGAATAATAATCTAATATCTTGGCTTATCAGATCTGTGAAAGATGATGATCCAAGATGTCAGGAAAGGAGCACCATATTTGCTGCCATTTATTGGCCACAGTGGATTGAAATCCTAATTTATGACTCAGTATAATGAGTGAACCCAGACACATTGGCATGGACTTAGTCCCGCACAAACAAGCTGAGTGCTCAAGAATACACCCAGCACTAATTCCCCTTTTGGCACCACACATAAGATAACACACAGACCTTTGATGCTGACCAGCCAGTTGGCTAGGGAATTCTGGGAGTTGAAGTCCACACAACTTAAAGTTGACAAAGGTTGAGAAACGCTCTATAAACACCTCGGGTTCTAAGGATGGGAAAAGACCACCAAAATTAACAAATGAGATCTTTAATAAAGGTGATCCTTATTTAGCAACAGCCTTATTTAGCGACCATTTGCGGTTACAATGGTAAAGAAAAGCTAATTTAACCTCGCATTTGAAACCTTCGCTGGTCTATAGTTATATCTACACACACACACAAAACATACACAAATGCACATACATACAGAAATGCACACATGCAGACATATACACACGTTTCTTTTGTGTATATAAACATATTACATATATATATATATATATATATATATATAAAACACATACATATATATATCATATATATATACAGCTATCTTTCTCTTGTGTGTGTGTATACACACACATATATATGTACAGTATACATACACACACATATATATATACAAAACACGAACACACACACATACATATATATACAGATGGTTGTTTTGTGTGTATGCTTGTATATAAAGATAAAAACACACATAAATGCACACGTGCAGACGTATATACGTTTGTTTTGTGTGTGTACATATATATATATATGTACGAGGACAGCCGGGAGCCTCATAATGGTAAGCAGGGAAGGAAGGCAAAACGTTTACACGTGGGTAAAAGGAAGACAGGTACCGCGCAGGAGCGCATATATAGGGAGTTCAGACAGATTGGTCTGATTTTATATATATATATATATAAAAACACACACACACATATATATATACAGCTATCTTTCTTTTGTGTGTATTTATATATACACACACACAGATACACATATATATGTACAGTATACACGCACACATATATATATATACACATCTATACAAAAGACAAACACACACAAAACACACGCGTATAAAAACACAAACACACCAGCCCAGGTAAGATTCGGTACTTTCCTGAGGGCGCCCCACGTGCCTTCCCACGCCAGCGCTCCCCGCGGCGCCTGCGCAACGCGCTCGGGAGGCGGAGTCTCCGCCGGGTCCCCCGCCGCGTCCCTCCCCCCGCGTCTTTGTTTCGAGCGGCCTGTTTCCCAGGCAGCCTGGCGGCGGAGGGGGCGTGGCCATGCAAATGAGTAACGGGGCGGGCGGCGGCGGCGGCATCGGCTCTCGCTCTCGCTTCGTTCGCAGCGCGGTCGGTCGGAGCTCGGCGCTCGCCCACGGAGGAGCTGCTGTGAGGGCTGAGAGCGAGCGCCTCCCCCCGACCCCCGAGGATGATAAACACCCAGGACAGGTACGCGGGGGGGGGGCTGGGCGGGCGGGGCGGGGGGCCCAGGCGCGGGCCTACTTCCCCCCGCCAAGCCTTTTTTTTGGGGGGGGGCTCCACAAGCAGCCCCCCCACGCTGGCAAGCGTGGATCAGGAGGGGGGNGGGGGGGGGGGGGGAAGAAGAGGAAACAAAAACAACAGCAGCAGCAGCAGGCCGGAGGGGGCGGGGCGGCGCTGCTGCTCCTCTGCACGTCCACACCGCCCGTGGGGGGGTGAGGGGGGGGGCGGGTCGGCGGAGAGGATGGGGGGGATCCCCTCCACCTCCTTGGACCCGGAAGCTGGGAAAGGGGCCGCTCCCCCGGTTTTGGCCCCGGCTGGGACCGCGTTTGCACGCATGCAATGCATGCATGCATGCATGCACAACACGCACGTTGCCCCCTCCCGTGTTCCAAAGCATTCGCTCTTTAGATCCCCCTTTCCCCCCCCCAGGGTGGTCGCCCAGGGATTTCTCCCCCCCCCCCCCGATTTGCTTCCTGGGTTGCAAGACTGCCCGGAGGTCTTCTAGCCAGCGGAGGGAGGGAGGGAAGAGACTGGTTGGGAGGCAAGGTTGGGTTTCAGGTCTGTTTGGTTTCAGGGGAGCCTCAGGTGTTCTCCTGGAAGGGAGGGAGGCGGTGGGTGGGTGGGGGCGAAGTCCTGGTTTCGCTTAACAAAGAAACACATCTGGGGCAAAGAGGGGGGGGGAGACCCCCTTTGGGGAAGGTCCAGACAGCAGGGCAGGGTCGGGTGGCAGAAAAGTGACCAGGGAGCCTTGGACAATAGGTGGACATCGGCAGGTGAACTAAGGCCCTTTGACTACCTGGCTGAGGTCCAGAACTTGTTCTCTGTATTGGGAAAGGTCCTGTTTTTCTCCTGAAACAATGGGAGAGTCTATTGTGACTCAGCCTGGGATGGAGGAGTAGGTTCTTGTCCACCTTTTTTTTTTCCCAGGGAAGTTAAAAGACTGGTCTTTTCTTGACAGGTGCCTTTGGAGGTCTTGCCAAGAGCAGTGAAGTCCCTGTTTGGGCTTGAGGGAAACAAGGTTTCCTCAGGGTGGGATAGGTAGCGATAGCAATAACACTTAGACTTATATACCGCTTCACAGTGCTTTACAGCCCCTCTCTAAGCGGTTTACAGGGTCAACATATTGCCCCCAACAATCTGGGTCCTCATTTTACCGATTCTGGAAGGATGGAAGGCTGAGATGATATGGTGTCACTATTGCAAAAAGAATCCCCAGTGTTGGGATCCTGTATTGGCCTGGATAATAGTACAGGAGCCTGTCTTTTGTGCTAGGGAAATAAAAGCTTGTATTTTGAAGTTGGCTGTGTTTTCTGGGAGAATTGCTCTTTCCCCGATCTGCTTTTTCCTCCGATAAAAGCAGTCATAGATAGCTACACCCAAGATTGTATATGCAGTTACTTTTGTTCCCAGAAGTGGGTTGGCCTTTCACACCAAACTCTTGATGGAAAGTCGCCATTATATTGGGGACAAATGGAAAGGAGCTGTCACCTAGATGGAGAAAGAGATCAAGTACACCTCTGGCCCGTTTTATTCCCTGTACACTCTTGCAACATTTGCAGTCAAAAGGAGATTTGCAAAGTAGCTTGGATTCCAGCAAGCATAGCAGTTTCATGCTATGGTGATTAGCCTTCTTCCAACATGATAATTCGCACTTTGTGGGGTTTTTATATTATATAGTAGTTTGCATTGGACAGAAGCCAGTAATTATTTTTGGAAGGTGTTGCATATATTTTCCTTGCATCGTGTAGGTTTCCTAGAAGTGTTTATCTGAAGACAGTTTTGGGAGTGGAGGGAAAGTTGTGTCTGCGTAAAGTACAGTTTCCTAATTATTACCGAACGAAGGCGGAATTCTGTCTGCAGGAGTTGAAAGAATTTGAAGCGATAAGTGCTATTTTTCAAGCTCAGGGTTGAATTTAACAATCAGACCCCCTCAAGTGCTTTCAGCAACAGCCTTTCAGAAATGCAGCTCCCTTCCTTTCAAAACAAAATGTTAGTATCTGTTTAGGAATAGGGTGGTGGTGGTGGTGAAAGTTTTATCTTAATCATAAATGTTTGCAAGTTAAGCTTTCGCTTTAATTGGCAAGCAATGTGATTGAAATGGTTTGCAAAACAGGAAGGCTGTTTATTTACAGTTACTGCAAGGCAGGATGTCTTTATTTTATCGAGGCCATGAGTAATTGGTGAACTTTAAAAATAAAAGTCCAAAGCCCTCGTGGGTCTGGTCCTAAATTTATCTGAATATGTGTGGTTAATGGTTAAATCTGGGTGCTGCCTACCCATAAAGCTCTCATCAGGGAGGATTTTTTAATCTACTTAAGACCTTTGGTGTTACGTAAACAGTGAAGTAATTCCATCTCCCCAGAGACCTACCAATCAGCTCAGTGATAGGACTGGAAACCATCCTTTTAACTATACTGTTTACAAACTCCACATAAACTTCCTTGCAAGTGTCCCTCCCTCTTCAAAGTGTCAGATCCAACTAATCTTAGATTTGTTTCTGCTAATATGTTGGCTGAAAAAAACATCAGGTTTGGCATAGCAACTATAAAATGTGTTTTTCATTGTAAAATGTGTTTTCCTTTGGAGTGTCTGCTGGATAACCAGATTTCTTTTATCCCTATCTGCAAAACGCTTGTTTTTCTATCTTGGCTTTTCCTCTGCTTGAAAATACAGCGCTGAAGGAGTTGGAACTGTAGAAGGAAGTTTGGCCTTGTAGTTTAACATCCACTCTGTTTAGTGAGTTATACACAACCCTTTGTATTTATCAGTCTGTTTCCCACGCTGGGCATGTGTCTGCCAGGAAATGTTTATAATTCATACACTCGACATTCAAAAGACTGCACCTTTGTTCTCGGTTCAAAACAGGAAAATATAGGCCAGCCAGTATAATGCATTAAGTTGGTTAGTGTGTTGATAATTCAGAATTTTTACACCTCTTTTCTCAGTTTGGTACCTTCTGTAATTGGGACCACAGCATCTGGAATTTGCCTCCAACAAAGTTATTCTCCTGTTTTTTGTTTGTTTGGGTGCTTTTGAGTCAATGTTGATTCCTGGTGACTGCCTGGACAAATCAATGCAATTTTCTCAGCAAGGTTTTTCAGAAGTGGATTGCCCTTACTTGTTCCTTCCTAGGGCTGAGAAAGAGCAACTGGCCAAAGGTCCTCCAGCTGGCTTTGTGCCCAAGGCAGAACTAGAACTCCTGGTCTCCCAGTTTCTAGTCTCATGCCTTAATCACTACATGAAACCCTGCTAGTTGGGAATTTTACCATTCATAATTCATTTAGAAAGGAACAGGATGAGGAAACCTGCTCTTTATTATGCATAAATACAGTGTTACTTCTTTTTTTAAAAAAATAATATTATGCAAAGCAAGAGTCTGGATGCGGCCCGTACTAGGACAAATTCTGCGACATTCACAGATAATCAGTGGAATTGACTTGGTAAACTGTTGCCGCTGTTGCAGAACGAAATCAGATGCATCCTGAGAGTGTTTTTATCCTCGTCAGTTGAGTTACAATAGGATTAGTCTATAGATCAGGAATGTCCACAACCTTGGCAACTTTTAAGACTGGCTGGGGGAATTCTGGGAGTTGAAACCCACAAGTTTTAAAGTTGCCAACGTTGTACACCCCTGCTTTAGGGCCTTGATCTGGAAGAGTGAACTGCTTCCTACTGGGGGATTGATGGTGGGGATCTTAATTTTCATTGCTATATTCGATTATTCAAGCTTCCTCTGAGCAACAACAATGCTGCATTGTTGAGTGGAGAAAACAAGCACATCTGCCAGCTGTATTGGAGGCTACGGTGGGGAGGGGTGGACAAAAAAAAAACCATAGTCTAGCATTATGCTTTACCAGTCTCCGCCAGACACCAGCCTGACAGAAGAGCTGTTTTTCAGTCAATTATTGCAGTGAATGTGGGTGATGAAGAGAGCTAGGCCAAGTCAGTGTATGCAGACTCCCTTCCTAGCAACCTCAGTTGCAGCTGCTTTGTGTCACTAAATGGGCAGAGCGAATTTGGGTTTAAAAAGAAATGATTTTTGGAGGGGGGGTTGGGAACAAGCTGCTCGACTTCCAATTTAGCACTCGGTTGGGTGCTGCGGTCTACTTTAATTGTGTTCCATTCAAGGTAGTTGAATCTGTTGTACAAGAACAGGCCAGCTTCAAGCCTCCGTTTTGAAAATTAGGATTAGCCCACTCGCCAAGGACCTGCTTGAGGAGCCAGATGTTCTGTTTAGGCAGCAGAGTATACAACTACCATTTCTCTGGTTAAGGGAGATTGGTTAAGTGAGTTTTGCCCCATTTTACAACCTTTCTTGCTGCAGCCGTTAAACGAATCACTGCGGTTGATAAGTTAGCAACCCGGTGGTTAAGTGAATCTGCCCCCCCCCATTGACTTTGCTTGTCAGAAGGTCATAAATATGAACCAGTTTGCAAGCCTCTGAATTCTGATCACACAATCCTGGATCTGCTGTGAAAAACGGTGAGACGTCATATTTTTCAGTGCCGTTGTGCCGTTTGAACAGTCACTAAATGAACTGTTGTAAGTTGTACGTGCAACTGGCTTCAGCCTGTGTGTGAACTGGTTTGGGGAGCTGTCAGAAAGATGCTACGAAACGATACCAGAAAGAGACCGCAAATTGATACCACTTTCATCTGAGATTCTGCTTGTTTTGTGTACAAAGTTTAGAAAATGTAGCCTGAGTTTGCAGGTGTCTTCTTAAAATGTCTTCAAATACATTCCTAGCTCTGAGCGAAAGGAACGATCACACACAAAACCCAGATATGAAATATGCAATGTTGTGCATCTTGGATTACGGCTAGGCCTTTTGGGGAAAATGGGAATTACAGTGTCTGTTTTTACAAAACCTCAGCAGAGCCGAAAGTGTGTGTCTCTACACCAGTACAAAGGATATTGCAGCCAGCTGCACCTGTGCAGGTGTTGTATGGAGTTTAATAGATCGAGATAAGGGTGTGGTATGGGAAGGATGCTGTTAATACCTATTGTATCTTTCCTGCCAGATTGAGATTTCACCTTAAACCAGTACAAGGCTATAATCAAAAGATGATGATCAAAAGATGAATGCTGTATAGCAGTATTTCCTCAACCTTGGCCACTTTTAAGGTGGGCAGACTTCAACTCCCAGAATTCCCCAGCCAGCCTGAGAATTGAAGTCCCCCCATCTTAAAGTGGTTAAGGTTGAGAAACACTGCAATGTAGGACACAACGCATAAACATTCTTCGCTCGGCAGTTACGTGGGTGGCGCATTGCCTAAATATTAAAATAATATATTGCAAGGTTGAACGCAACAGCCTTAGCTTGCTTCTGGAAAACATGTAACCACACACACACACACACACACCCTTTGAAAGGCCTGGTTGCTCTGTCATTTGTTGAAAAAATGTGGTTTAATCCTGCTCTTGTGGTCATTTGGCCAGTAGAAAAATGGATTGTTCAGACTGTCCGGTGGCTGTCTTTATCTTGATAGTGGCTGTTGTGCTTTTGAGTTTTGCTGGGATCTTGCAGGGGTTTGTGGTCCTCACCTTGTGCTCTTTTTCTTCCAGGAGTATCTTACCTTTGAGTAACTGCCCCCAACTACCGTGCTGCAGGCACATTGTTCCAGGGCCTCTGTGGTGCTCCTGATGCCCCTCACCCACTGACGAAGATCCCCGGTGGGCGAGGGGGTGGCAGGGATCCTTCTCTTTCAGCTTTGATATATAAGGTGAGCCTAATTCCATCTCTCCTGGGCTTTTGCTGCTAGACAAGAAGCTTTTTTGCTTCATAGAACTCCAAGAACACTCTTGAGTATTTTTCATTTCTGTGTCTCCAGTTCACAGCGCTGTGTAAATTCAAGCTTGCTGCTTCTGGAAGCTCGTTATTTTGGGGGCTGGTTGCCTTGGAGATCTTTTTAAATAAGTGACTTCTGCTACTTTTTCTAGCACCTCTCAGTGTTAATTGCTTTGTTACTTTTTTTTTTTTTTTTAAGAATCCAACATGTGAGAAAATATAATGAAACCATGCTCTGCGTCAGGTCAGTTAGATTTTGAGTTCACGAAAAGAAGAAAACAAGTACGGTTTCCAATTCTCTCCCTAGGGTGATGCTTCGGTAATCATCCCACTGTTCTTCTCCCTGGAGCTGTTTCCATAACACTTACAAAGCTCATACTGAATCGCAGGCACCTAAATATCTTAGAACTGGGAAGCAAAAATAATGGGACAAATGAAGAACTTTCCAGTGATGAAATTTCTGGGCAGTGTAGAACTACCACCTAGGGACAACTTTATAGGCCAGTGATGGCAAACCTTTTAGAGACGGAGTGCTCAAACTGCAACCCAAAACCCACTTATGTATCGTCCGGTGCCGGGTAGGCATGGCCCATTGGGTGGGTGTCGTCCATTGGGTGGGCATGGCTGCGGTGGTAACTGCAGACTGGATGGGAATTAAAAAGTTCAATCAGTCAATTCCAACTTTGCAAGATCTTTTTTCCCTGCGAGAAGTTGAAATTGATTGAACCTTTTTTTTTTTTTGCATACGGCGGAGGCCTAAAGCGAAAAGGTTTTATAAAACCAGGCTGAAGGGCTAGGACTGGGGCGACGGTGTGCGTGCCCATAGAAAGGGCTCTGTGTGCCATAGGTTCACCACCACGGTTATAGGCATTAGAGATGTTTCGTTCTGATCCTGAAGCATCAATACGAGCTGTTACATCCACAAGACTTGGCTACCCCATCAAAAGAGGAACATTGTTACGAAGCTTAGAGACGGATAGTATTCTGGATTGGTAGAATCAAAAGTAACGCAAAGGCCAGGGGTTTTTTTTCCTTGTTTTTCTAAAGCTGCTTTACAGTTGGTTCCCAATTCCTGTCTTGCATAAAGTGTAAGATGGAGCAGCTATCAAGCGACCACGCTTGTAATATATCGACACAATTCTGTGGCTGCCAAGGCTAGTTTTTCTAAGACCATTTCTGTTAGTATAATCTGTTTTTGAAAATGGGTGAATTTTGTGCATTTCTCTTGGAGATTGCTCAGGAGATAAGGCTTTGATTTATTTAAATGTACTCAGTTGGGTCATGGAGGACAGCGGGTTGAAGTTTCGTGATTGTTTTTTTAAAAAGCAGAAGCACGGGTTGGTGTCAGTTCCCATAACAATGAGGAATTGGGGAACTTAACTGCTCTTTTCTTGTTCTTCCTGTGGTTCTAACCCTTGAAAAATATTTCCCTCCCCCCCCCTTTCTTAAAAAGGATGAGAAGCTCACTGTTAACCAAGATCTTCCGGTGCATGATGGGAAACCACATATTGTCCACTTTCAGTACAAAGTTACGGAAGTGAAGATCTCCTCCTGGGATGCAGTGCTATCCAATCAGAGTCTTTTTGTGGAAATTCCTGATGGCTTATTAGCTGATGGGAGCAAAGAAGGGTAAGATATGCACAGGTCTTCCACAGATTATACCCCAAGGAACATAGTCACCAGTAGGAACAGGTTGTGCACTTCTGACTTCTCCTACAAGTTGCTGGGCATAGATTTATCTCTCTTTAAGCTCCTAGTATTTTGAAGATAGGGTGTGTGTGTGTGTGTGTGTGTGTGAAGCATCAGTCCTGCCCATGCATGCTGATTTGCGCTCCAAAGCTCATGCTGTTACATTTTCCCTTTGGATTAAGCTGGCTTGAGTCTTCCATTTATAAAAATGCTTCAGCCAGTTTATTCTTTCCTTTTGCCGTAATTCTTGGGTCCCTGAGTTTCCCCTGTCAAAATGCTTTAAGTACAATTGCATAACTGATTAATTACAGCCAGCTAAAATAAGCAGCTTGGAAGGTATAATTAAAATGGATGTTAACAAAATCCCTTCTAAGTTAAAATCGCTGCTGCTTTCCGCCTCCGATTAAAACCTGGTTGATCCGCTACTTGCTTGATACAGTATGCGAGATTCCCTCGACCAAGCAAGAAGAGCCAGGCAGTTTTTATAAGGCTATTAAATAGGTAACTCTCAAACCATCTGCAATGTGACACTATTCCCTAGCCCATGCAGTACAGAGGATTGTTACAGCTTAGTATTTGTTTATAACTCTAGCTGTAAAAAAAAAAGTGATGCATTATATATGCATCTCGCAGCCCACTGCCTGTGAGCTGGATGCAGCTTGCAGAAATTGGTCTGAAATAGCAGCACACCACCCGGCCTCCCCCAGCACACAGCTTCCATAGGAAGTCTCTTGTGATAACAGTCTCCTGGCGTTCAAATGAAATTCATTAATTTTTCAGACCTCAGCACTTGAAATCTTCCTGCCTGAGCAGGGGGTTGGACTAGGAGACCTCTAAGGTCCCTTCCAACTCTGCTAGTGTTATTTTGTCCCCACTTTGTTTTACACAGCTGTGCTGTCTTGCTGTGCAAATAACCACTCATGCTTGGTTAGTGTCTTGACCACCTTCCATTTCCCTCCCCAAATTCTGTGTAGCCGGCGCACGCTTTCTTGCCCAAGTATGTGTGCCCAACGTGACACGGGGGGGGGGATGAGCTGAGTGTAACCTTCTGTTTTCTCCTCACCTGCCAGATTATTAGCGCTGTTAGAATTTGCTGAAGAGAAAATGAAAGCAAGTTATGTCTTCATTTGCTTTCGAAAAAGCAGAGAAGACAGAGGTAAGTGCTTCCACACCCCCTCCTTTCGCTCAAAAAACCTGCCTCATTCAGAGCACTTTGTGGGTGTGGCTTTTCTCCTTCCAGTTGAGGAATGATTCAGGTATAATTGCTACCAATAGACACCTTAAATTGCTGGCACAATTTTCTCAGTAAATTTCTGAGATCGAGTCGCAGTTCCAGCTCGGAATGTCTGCTGAATGACAAGAACAAGCAGTGTCCCGCGGTCTTGAGGTGCTGCGCGTGGTTTGGGCCAATTTGCAGCCTTCACCACGAGCAGAGCAAACTCAGCTTTGTTCACAATACGACTTGGATGAACTGATGGGAGTGGACAGCAGACAGGCAGTCCTTGACTTACACCAGCCCCTTTAGTGACCGTTCGAAGTTATAGCGGTGTTAAAAGTGACCGATGACCGTTTTTCAGACGTTAACGACTGTTGCAGCGTCCCCGTGATCAAAATCCAGCCACTTGGCAGGCTGGTTTCAGAAACCTCAGCAGAATGGAACAATTCAGCGATGCCCAATGTATACAGAAATCCAGAGCCTTTGCTTTAGGTATAAAACCGGCCCATGTCTTGTTGATCTGATCGTGTTCCTTTTCTTCCTTACAGCTCCGTTACTGAAGACATTCAGTTTTCTGGGTTTTGAAATTGTGAGGCCTGGTCATCCTTGTGTCCCATCGCGGCCAGATGTGTTGTTCATGGTGTACCCCCTGGATCAGGTCTCTTCTGATGATGACGACGACGACGATGACGATTAGACCTAGTGCAGCGTTTCAGTGGGGCCCGGACATGCTTCGAGCACGGGAGGGGGCTCCAATGCCTCTTCTGAGGAAAGGGAAAACAAAATCCTTCTGGACTGAAACCGCATTTCTTATTGTTAGAGTGACCTGTATATCTTCTGAGTTGACTTTTCCATTGAAATGTGTTACCTAGCGAATAATATAAAGTCTGCACATGTAATTGCACAATAGTAAATGGAAGGTAAATGGAGCTCTGAGGGGGCCCCCGCTGTTAAAAGCCTAGTGAAGACATCCTGTCCAGCCACACGGTGGCTAAGGAGCCCACAGATGGAGAGAGAGAGAGAGAGAGAGAGAAAGGGAAAGCTTCAATTACTCGTTACATACATGTTGGGCTACCTATTAGTTTGGATATTTGGCTTTCATTTTAAATGCATATTTATATGTTCACTCAGACTCTTAAGCAGGGGGGATGTTTTGAGCGTGGAAATATGAGGAATGGTAGCTTTTTTTTTTTTTTTTTTTGCAAATAGATGATTTGCACCACTGGGTTAATCAATATTCTGGGGTTCTTGACAAACGCTATCCTCTTTCCGGCTTTTATTAGGTTAGCATTAACTCTAGCGCTGCTTCATTTAGAAGGGGGGGGGGAATGAACGCAAGGTGTGAAGCTGGCCTTGCTTCCGAAGGGCATCGCCATCCCTTTCGAGAGGATCAGGGCAGTCTTGTGTTCTGCTGTGGAATTGGAGAAAGAATCAAGTCAAAGCAAGCTTTCCCTTCCTTTGGAAGAATGTCTGGCCCACACCGAAGTCTGGATTCTGGAATCGTGACTGGCAACTTGATTCGTCCCTTGATTAGGATTCAGTCCTTAACGCGTCTTCAAAATGCATTTGGAAACTTTTACCTAAAAGTAGTTCTTGTAGTTGACATTTCCTGTCCTCATCCTTCCTTCAAAAATGCCCCCTGGGAATATTAGATGACTGCTATCATGCTTACGTTTCCTTCAAACAGCCAGTTCCTTCAAACGTCATTCACAATATACAATTCTAAAACGGTTCTTGTCTATTTACTTGTGTTACCCAACGCACTTTTCACTTCTCAGGCGTTTATCTTGTGCAAAGTGGGAGCCATCTGGCTGTCACAGAAGGGAAACTCTTAAAAAACCTAGGGGTGCAGGATAAGCTGCCTCTTTGGAGGAAATTCTGCTTAGAATTCCGTTATCGTCTGGGAGCGTCTTTGATTTGCCTCACTGCTTTTTAGGGTAGCAATAAGCAGTTATTTTTCAGGCTTGCTGGTTGGAGGGGAGGGAACAACATATGAGTGATATCATGGGGGTAAAACAAAACTATCTGTATCCTCCCAATTTTTGCTTGTAAAAGGCTGGATCTCATAACTATAGGCTTTAATATTAGCCAAAACCTGAAAATTTATTGGAGTAACCTATTGAAGGAAAAATAGATAATAGACTAGGTAGGCTAGGGAAGATATTCCTTTATATAGGGCAGGGGTAGGCAACTTTGGCTCTTTTATGACTCGTGGACTTCAACTCCCAGAATTTCTGAGCCAGCCATGCTGTGGGGAAAGGGAGAGGTTTCCAAGCTGAGACATGCTGGCTCAGGAATTCTGGGAGTTGAAGTCCACGAGTCATAAAAGAGCCAAGGTTGCCTACCCGATACAGGTTTATCATTTAGGGTTACCTGGTTCTTTGATAAGCAGCTGTCCAGTCCAATGTGACATGAGGAAACCCAACAACTCATTGACCCAAGAACTATACACCAGTTGGACAGACTACCACCTGGTCAAGTTGGCTTCAACATTCACCACGCTTTTTATAACCTAGACTGATGAGGCTATATTTCTTAAATGGTATTTAGACAATTCTTGAATATATTGCCCTTGCAAATTAGGACATCTTAGATGAACCCTACTCTTTGAAGTGAATTCTGCTTGCCTTCCTGGCTGTGCTTTGTGTTGGTTGAGTGATACTTAAAACCAACAGTATAGTATGACTGCTGTTTGTGGAAACAAGCATAGGCCAGCTAGATCCTAAACTACATTGGCCTCTTAATCTTTAAAATATTTGTGCCTACTGTTTTTTCAGATTTCTAGCCTATATAAAAGAAATGTGGCTCTTTAAATTCATAATGTCCCCATTTTTTTTGCTTCTATGTATTGTTACAAGAACAAGTAGTTCCTGTCATCCATCTTTTGAGTTAGCAGAAAGATCTAAATCAAATTTAAAGACATTTCTACCGAACCCAGGAAATATCAGTCCAATAAAATTCAGAGTCTTTGATCAAGGGCTATTCAAAATGCAATTTTTGAGGAAAGGGGAAAAATTCAAAATTCATTCCTCTCTCCGTTGTTACATTTACAAAGGAGCTTGTTCTATTTAGGAAAATACATATTTGGAAGAGAATAAAAATATTGCCTAGTACTACCAGGTTTTCTTCCCCTCATTTGTTACTACACCCTGAGTGTAGATAAAAAAAAGCTCATTTAGTTGGGCTTTTGCTAAATTTACGTTTTAGCCATAATGATACCCAGTTTGCAGAATAGGATTGTTACTCATGAATATTCCCAGCTTGTTATGACTTCTTTGCAGTTGATATTAGATGGGCCAATAAAATATCCTGTAGTGTCTTGATTCAAAAGCCTTTTTGGGAGGGTTTGGATACATATATATCTCCCACGAGTCTAGCTTTTTTGCCCTTTGCTTACAACCTATGTTAAAAGCCATATGGCAACTGAAGTCTTGGCATTAAAGGTGAAAAAAACATCGCTGCTTATTCAGTTCTCAGGCACATCCTGGGACTGAGTTGTTACCCAAAGTGCTGAACCAACACCCTTTGTGCCTATCCACGTCTGTGGTCCTACATATCTATGGAATACCGTATTGGAAAGGGCGAAACATTAAATCAATTTGCTTTGTGAAATACCAAAATTTGAGAGTAGTGTGAAACGTTTCCTCACCATTTCCACTCCTGTTTTGTTTTTTTACATTGACTTACGATTTCCTCTAGACTATATCTTTGGTTTTTAATTCTTCACTCAGGAAGTTCTGCAAAGCAGGAAAAAAAAACACCCTAGTGAATGGTAGACTGCAAAAAACTGTCTACTTACTAGACTGATCCAGCTGCTCAGGCCAGAATGCTCGACCTCTATGTCAGGGCTTTTCAACCTTTTCACCCATTGTACCACTTTTAGATAAGGCAATATCCGAGTACCACCAGTCGCCTAGCAAGGTGTCAAAAACTTGATGACCCCCCCCAAAGGAAAAAAGTGATGAAGTACAGGTAGTCTTCGACTTACAACAGTTTGAAGTTACAATGGCACTGAAAAAAAGTGTCCCCCCAAGCCACAGCTGAGCAAGACGCCTGCCTGCCCACCCGGCGGGGCTCTTCCTCCTGTCCGAGGTTTTCATTGTTGTGAGCCTTTCTGTTGAGGATTGGCAGTGGGGGTGGGGTGGGGTTTGGTTTTATTCCCCTCCCCCCGTCTGCTGGGTGGTTGCAGCAGGTTTTGGTCACTTCACATGACCCTGGGACACTGTGACCGTCATAAATATGAATCAGTTGCCAAGCATCTGAATGTAAATCACAAGACCCTGGAGAGGCTGCAACATTCCAGCTGATCGGTGCTTCTTCAGGGCTCAGCAGAAGCGCCAGGATCAGTGCCGAGCTCCAGCTGGAGTCTGGCACTGATCCTGGCATTTCCACTGAGCCCTGATAGTCCCAAAGAAGCACTGATCCTGGTGCTTCCGCTGAGCCCTGACAGCCCTGCAGCTCCAGCCGTCTCTCGCTCAGGCTTGTGCGGTGCTGCCACCAGTTCAGCTCACTCCCCTCCCCTGCTACCCCTTTTCTAGGATGGTCGCGTACCACCCGCCAGGTGCCAATGTACCACAGGTGGTACCCCGTACCACTGGTTGAAAAGCCTTGCTCTGTGTAACCTGCACAACTGCAGAAGCAGCTTGGAATATGAAAATGTATTTCTAGCCCTTACACAAGTTGGAGAGGTGGGCTAAGGTCAAGTTAAATAATTTTTTTTTTACACAAATATGACTCTCTGTATTTTTTTTTTTTTTAAAAAAAACAACAGCAATACACTAACACCAATACAAACAAAAGGCCAAAGCTTTGCATGCAGCCAACAGGGCAAGGATCCTGCTGCTGAGGTAGGGCCTTTCTTATACAAATACCTTATCTAGTAAGGTCAGGAGCATAAAGTCAGGCCCGGAAGAGAACTCCAGTCATTCCTTATCCCCCCACCACCTTTTTTTTTTTTTTTAAACAAGAGCTTGCTACAACACGGTGCTTCTGTAAAGGCTCCCCCTCAAAGTAGGTAACCCTGAGGTTTACTCAACTGACACTACATCTCTCTCGCCTCGTCAGGAGTTGCACGGCTCGCATTTTGTGGCTGTCGCATTTTGTGGCTGTTGCATTTTGTGGCTACCTGAGTCATGAATGCATAAAACCGTAATCAGGTGGTGAGCGCTCTACTACTGAATGTTCTTGCAGGACTGTGCTGGTCAGAAAAGGCTTGCAGCCTCCCAACTTTTTTTTTTGCCTTCGAGGTCCTCCTCTTGCTTGAGTGAGAGGTCCTAGGTCAGGGGTAGGCAACCTTGGCTCTTTTATGACTCGTGGACTTCAACTCCCAGAATTCCTGAGTCATAAAAGAGCCAAGGTTGCCTACCCCTGTCCTAGGTGATAGTTCTAAGGCAACCATTGGAAGCTCTCCCTGCAGAAGGCCTTGGAGGGCAAGTGCCAGAAAGGCAGAGAGGATGTGTGTGCTTTTGAGACGGTGGGAGTGGCTGCCAAACCAGACTGTGCCCCAGGGATAAGCAGTCTCTTCTGCCCGCTGCCCCCCTCCCCCAGGTACTTTGATGAAAGCTAGGTGAGGACTCCAGCTGGGAAAGGAAAAAAAGAAACCCCGACAAATTTCAAACAATTCCTTTTTACAGTATGTACAAAGTCCAAGAGGCAGCGGGGTGGCCTCGCGCACACATACAGACAGGAACAGAAAGACAGAGCTGGGAACTTGCACCGCTCAGACAGGCAGACAGACAGCGCCCATTCCTGAAGAGTCAGCTGGGGAGGGCGGGACTTGGGCCCCTTACCATTCCAACTGACAGGTCTGCAGGAACCGGGGGGGGGGGNCGCAGCAGGGCTCTGCAGGGAGGTGGCTGGTGGCTAAATGTGCCCTCGCGGCGTCTCGGCAAGGTCAAGCTTGGTTATTTTCGACACCGCAGGGCACAGCCAGCCCTGGCTTCATTCCTTGCCGAGAAGGAATGGGGAATTTCCAGGCGTGGGGAAGGCCTGAAAAAATCAAGCAGCTCTGCCCAGACAACTGGGCCATGGCAGCAAGGCTTCCTTCCTCTGTGGAAAGGGCTGGGGAAGACAGGAGCGACAGGCACCCTTCAAGCAGAGAGGAGCGACTTGACTGCCGGGCCCCCACGGTGGGGGCCCGGCAGAAGCAGGACCAGCCTGCCCGAAGGCCATGTGATCGGCAGTGCTGAGAGGCTGTTTTGTGCTGAGGAGCAAAGTTGCCGCCGCCTCGCAACACACAAGTCCCGCCAGCAGGCAGAGGGCTTAGAAAAACGGTGGGTGGGACGGCCTTTCCCAGAACAGCAGGCCCCAAGGCAAAGTGCTACAGAGAAGTCCGGTAACCGTTTCCTGACTGGAGAAAGGTACGGCTGGCTGGGGCTCGTGGCAGGCCTGGTGGCCTGCCTGCTTCCTCCCCCCCGCCCGTTTTCCCAGGCCAGTGTTGAGGCAGGAGAGCCTCGTGTTTCCGGTGCTCTTTGCGAGAGTCCACCTACCTGCTTGTGCCACGTGACTTACTTCTCCCCCCATGAAAAGAATGGAGAAGGAGAACCCCAAAACCCACCATCTGGACCTTCTCTTCAGCCAACTCTGGAATGGCTTTCTCGGCTGCAGCCCAGGAACCAGGGAGCTGTGTGGGTGGAACTCGCAGCTCGTGCGCTCCACCTCCCCAACGTTTGTTTTTTTTTTCCCCCCCAAAGGTCCTGCAGATGTCACGCTGCTTCTTTCCCAGAAGAGTTC